GTTGGGGCCAGAGTTGGCATCAAAGACGATTATACCTACAAGGGCCCAGTGATGGATATCATTGCGGTTGCTGCTGCTGCTGCTGCTGCTGCTGCTGCTGCTGCATTTGCTACCAGTGACGCTAGCAACTGCTAGCAAACTTGTATCTGCGGAAGGAGACCTCAGGGGAAGCATAACGCAGACTCCTTCTTCTTGCTATCTGAAGTTTACAGATCCTTGCCACAGGGAGAAATTGTAACTCGCCCTTTTATCAACTCTGTGCGTATGCTGCAGGGCTCAAGGTATTGCGCTTTGCAGCCGGGATCTGCGCATATTCATCCAAAATCGTTAAACTGGAGCCCTTTTTTCGATCGTGGGATGAGAAACAACCTGACCTAAGCTCAACTCGTCTTTTGGAGTTTCTGCAGGGTTGGGGCTTCTGCTCCTATTTGAGATCTCTGTCTGGGATCCCTGAGAATTGACAATGGGAAGTCAGTCTATAACCTGCTCCTCCAACCTTGGGCCAGCAAGATCACGCCTTCCAATCCAATGTGTGCCCAACGGCCAGCGCAAGGTCTAGCATACAAGAACATACAGCCGAAAACAGGCTGCAAGTTCAGAAGAGCCACGTTCATGTACCCCCTAAGCCCTAAACCCAGAACCAAAAACCCAAAACCCTACTTCATCGGCTTCCCAATCCAGACTTTTAACATGAAGACACCCAGGCAATGAATGAGGACTCAAGCTTCTACCCGAAACCTTAAACCCAGTGCAGACAATGCGGCCACGAGGGCAGCAAAGCACCTGGGGTAGCAAACACAAATACTAGCGATAAAAGAAATATCAATATGTTAAACAGTAATAGTAGTAGTACTAATACTAACAACAAAAGCCATGCCTGAACTACAGTATTGTTGTAGCGTCTTGTCTCCTTTTACAGCATCTGGATAAGAGTAGCCAACGACCGTATTGACTACGACAGCACAGAAATGCACTACACGCAGCCATGGCTTGTCTAGCAGAGGTCCGTTGAATCCGCTTGATCGTTTTCACTGTTGTTTGAACATCTCATCTGATTAGCACCCAGGCTTGACTCAACACAATGATATCATCATGTTTCTTCTTTTTTACAGGGATTGGACACATTTTCGTGAAGACAACTATTCCTGCATGGCATGGTATTCTGCATCCTCATCTTTCTCGTCTCATCATGCATAATTTTCGCGGTACTGGATGCCAAGCGTTCCTGACAGAACGCGCTACTTGCAGCCATTTGGCTACCCCAGGCATTGCACTGAACCAGCCACTGAATTGTTGTTAGACTTCCGAGCCATCCCTGTTATCAAACAGTCTGTTATCTTCGGCGGCGAGTTGATTCGGAAGACAGTTGCAAGCCGTTGACTCTTATGGGGTACAGCCCTCCACTGGCACAGCTGCAGCCCTACCCTAAGGGTCCAAGGAGCCAGATAGTTTAGGGCCCGAATACCAGTGATATTATAGCATTTAGGCCCTAAAAGCCTAGTATTCGGGTCCTTGTACCGCCTAGGGCTAGTCTTCTGTTAAACGTATCTCAACCTTGCTCCTCAGCCATCCCCCCTGCAGTCGTGAACCCAACATCCCAACATCTTCAACCCCAAACCCGCCAAAGCCTACGCCCTAAACCCTAGCCCTAAACCCTAAATAGTAGTTTCCATCTCATTTTCCATTATCCCTATAACCAAAACAACCATGAACACTCAGCCGAGCACATCCTAAGCTCTAATTGACAACTCTTAGCCAGGCCCCGCCCATCTCTCAGGCCAAGTGACGCCCAGCGGAGCGGACCTACAGGAAGAGGGACCCATTGCTTTAATATTTTAAGGTTATATCGTGATTAAATTGCGATAATGGAAAATAAATGTGGAAACTACTATTTAGGGTTGAGGGTTTTAGTGGTTTGGGGTTTCAGGCGTTTCGGATTCCGTGGTTCAAGGATTTGGTGCATGTCCCAGGGCAAGCCTGGTCGTATGCTTCAGGGATTTTGCTCATGAGCGGCATACGACTTTTTATTCGGCGGGGAAGCAGTATATCTCCATTTATTGCTGTAAGCACCTGGCTCTTTTGTTGTGCTTGGGGTATGTGCGTTGGGCCATTCGGCTTGAATCATTGCATGGATGGTAGCATCAACGCGCGTCGGTGTAGCAACATCTTCGTGCAATATCTTGTTTCTCTGGAATCACCCCCGCAGGAACTACGACAGCCGCAAATTCTTGATTCAGTATCCCATCACCCCAATCCGTAAGGTCTGCTGGCAGCAGACAAACTGCCTGCAGAATCTGCAGCCAACATCTGAGCCAAACACACAAGTCCCCCAGTTGTCCAGCGCGCACCAGAACAATCCCATCAGCAAAACCATAATCACAACATGGGATGGAGCAGGATTTGCATACACGTGAATCATCGCACCTCATTACTCGTCAACACCCGAAACCCTAAATCAGTAGATCCTGAAGTGAAGCTGAAAGAAATACCGTTGGAACGATAATAATCACCGCCATCGCCCACCCCCATCCTGGTCGCTGTTGTTGCCATTCTTATCTCTACTACTGTTACTACTCTTACTGGTCTTGTTCCTACTATCATTTCTACAATTACTATTCTTGTCTCTGTTACTATCCATATTTCTACTCTTATATTAGTACTATTCTTACGATTTACTATTATCACTATCACTACTCTTAATACTATGAATACCATTCCTTATTCCCCAAAGCCTAAATCCTAAACCCTAAACCATATTGCTGTTAAAAGGAACCTGGCCTCCGAGCTTCATTTGGCTTTCGAGGCCCCGCCCCCTACAACGCCGGAGGGGGCGAAACTTTGAGAATGCCGGCGGCCGAGCTTTCATTTAGGGTTTAGGGTGTATATGAGGGTTATATAGGGATATATGGGGTTTGGGGTTTAGGGTTAGTAGGAATAAGGGAATATATTCTACAGAGATTAAACAGGGACTATATTCCCTTATTCCCTAATCCCCCACCCGAATTTCATTGGGGCGACTTTTCAATTCATGGGTACAAAGATATACACCAAAGCGGAAGGACCCCTATATAGCAACGCCTATGTGCATCCTGATGTCACCTGCATCGTTTGCAGGAGATGTGTGACTCCAACGCGTATCGGGTGTCAATCGGATGCAAAGGAATGCTCCTGCCAACGACGCAAAGCTGGAAAATCTTTACCCTTTGTCAGCTACACACTGCTTTGCAGGACGCAGCCTTGAAAGACTAGTCTTGTCTGCTTAAGAGCCAGGTTATTATTACCATGATCCTTATATGGTTATCTTATAAATATATTCTTACAATATTCTTATATTGGTATTGTATTGGTATAATATTATTCTTTCATGCCATCAATCGCCAGAAGATCCTTTGCTTCCTTCAGACGAAGATTTGGGCTTCAGTGGGTTCCACGGCTCCAGGGCTGCCTAGGCCTGCTTTGGTTGCTATCTTATTCGTATTCTTGTTCTTATTATTATTGCTATTATATTCTGATTCTTACTACTATTATTATTAGTATTCGAATATTAGTATCTTATTGCTATGTTCCTATCTTGTTGTCATATCTATATTTATGATTTGTTATCTTCAAATTCAGACTTGCTGGAGCGCGAAAATCCCGTCATCCCACTCCAGAGTCCTGGAGCCTGCTGTGGACCTTAGGCTCATAATTTCACTTACTGGTGGTTAGGGGGCACTAAAGGAATATAATCCATACACCTATATATATATGTATATATATATATATTTGTATTTTCCCTTATTCCCTACTAACCCCCCGTGAAATCAGGGTGGGTTCAAGGAGGCCTATACAGGACGTTGCATACTTGTAGAAAGGTCCTGGGTTGCATGAAGAGACTACATGTCACGGACAGGAAATTCCAACCTTTCATGCCTGGGCTTTCCGGACTTGCTTCGCCCTAAAACCCTTAATCCTATGAGCTGCATTGCGACAAGCTCCGCTTTCTTGCAAGCAATCTTGCGGCGTGGCAGGCCACGATTCCCCAGGCAACTTTGGCCAAGCGGATCATCCGAGGCTCCTTCGAAACAAAGCAGTGGTGAATTGCAAGGGCAAAGTTGCTTTTGCATCTATCTAGTCGGGGGCGGAGCTATATCTAGCATGGCTGTCGTATCAGATGCAGACTTGCACGGGACACCCATTGCAGTCAGGATCTGATGTACTCAACCAGTCCAGGACACCTTTATCACAGGGCTGTTGACTTTTCCAACCAGGACACTCCCTGGAGACACAACAAGTATGCCCTGCGCTATGCGCTCAGCTGCAGTGTTGATCCCAAGGGGTCCCTGTAGCTAAACAACACATACCTGGGCACCAAAGTAGGTGTTTGGGAACTCTTTTAGGCCCTCAGTATATACAATATAACTACCCTGAAGGCCTTAAATCCTAAATCCTGTACTTACAGGGACCTTTGGGGGTATCATCCTGAAACTCAACTGCGATTCCCAGGCTCCGCTTAAGAGATGACTGGGTTGCTATGAAGGAACTTGTATGAAATCAAGATAGTACCTTAATACTTCAACTAAAGGAACCAAGAGATAGCACGAGTAACTGAGCTTAAGTTCCTGAACAGCAACCCAGTTGATGGCGCTCTAGATCATCCTTTTAGTTTGCCTTGCATACTTCACTTCTCGTGCGAAAGATTGTACGTAGACCGCATTCACCACTACGACTGTCACTGGTGCCTTCAGAAGTTTGCTGAAGATTTGTGGATGCCCAACCAGAAAATGCTTAATCCCCAAACCCCATTCGAAACATATTGCATTCTTGGCACCTAAAGATTACTTGCAGCCAAGCTTTCAATCAGGAATATGCGCATGGTCTCTGGTAAGCTGCCAAGATCTGGAAGGTTGTGCTGCACACAAGCAGGCTTGTTTTCAAGGGAGGGGAGCATTAGGGGGTACAAGGGCCTCCTACCTGTAGCGCATAGGAAGCACCCTGAAGAAACAGCAGCTGAGCCAATCCTGAACTCGCCGCAGACGATGCCGCGAAACTGACAAGCGTAAAGCTTGATGATGGGTTCAGTTAGGACAGCGGTTCTGAGTGTAGGGTTATTTGGAGAGGGTGTAGCTTCAGAAAGAATGGCGCAGCGTCTCCTGCAAAAACCCAAAGATGGGAAGTAGCTAGCAGATCATGGCTGCCCAGCTTCAGCAAAAGGCGAGGTCACTGGAATGCATCGCAGCATGTAGAATTTCTGCTTCCCAAAGCAGGCGAAATTCACGCAGCGCACTTACAAACAAGAACCCAAACATGGCACTGTGCGAAGCCCTCTTGGTTTTGGCTGCCAAATACGACGCAAAGCCAAATAATTCAGGCGATTCCCTCTAATTACCCTTGCAGCGTTTACCTGAACAGACAACATGCATCCGAACCTGGACACTACGAAACAGGAACCAATCGCACAGCTTCAAGTGACGACTTTCTGCAGCCTTCCCTTTAAACTTGCATAGTTACAAGATCACCATAACCTCTCCCATCCCATCCTCATCAGCAAGTTATCTCCTGCGCCAATAACCATGCTCAGAAACAAGCGCGCCATTTTCTACAGCACATCCTCAGGCCCAGCTTCACAACCACCTCGTCCTCCAGGCTCATCTCGACTTCCGAGCCTAGAGCTTCTGATCCAGGAATCGCCTCATCAGGGGGTTTCCCAGAATTAGGGGTACCTTTTTGGGGGTCCCAATAAAAAGGACTATAGTATTTTGGGGTCTATATTGGGGTCCCCTTATTTTGGGAAATTACCATCAATAGTTACCAGCCCCAAACCTGAAATGTGCCGGATCGTGAGACCAGCCGTATTTCCGTGGTTGCCACCGAGGCAGCCGCGGATGACTTCAGATTTGTGGCTTTCTTGGCGCAGTAGGCCTTGGTGTGCTCGTTTGGAATGTAGGCCTGTAAGCAGTAATCCAGAACACATGGGCTACACTCTAAACTACTAGTAACCCCATAATAACGCCTGTAATACTCCCCTATATAATCCCCTATATAACCTCCCATAAGGAGTTTAGACTATGGCTCACATGGCTCCCAGTGAAGAATCAATCCTCGGGCCTTGAGCCAGCCAAATACCACACCTGCCCCTGGGTGAATCTCAGCAACTTAAATCTTATCCCGAATTGTGACATATCCCACCAAAGCCGGTAGCAGGGTCAAACTGGCTGCCTGACTGACTTGGATGCTATCCGTGCTACTCGTGCCTGCCCTCATCCACAAAATCCTGCATGCTTGCTTCCAAAGGGCGTTATGCAAACCTCTTGAGAACCTCTCCAGGAAACGCTAGCATGCGCGCATTCTGGTGCACTTCCTTACGTTGCGTTCTACCATTCATACAGGAAAGAGGGCAGAACGGCAGAACTCCACAAACTACCTAAAACACAAGCTTCTGAAGAACAAATTTCAGGAAAAGGATATACTGAAACTCATGCCTGGGTGCAGGCCACGAATCCAGGGGCTCGGGGAGGCTGAAGGGCGGCTTCCGCAGGTCATAGGATCTATCAGGGCCAAGGCTCCGTCATCATGGCATTCATAGTAAGGGTCTTTGGCTTTTTTTTTGGTGGGTTAAGGCTATGTGTATAAATGGAGTTGGGTGATTCTCTGATTAAATGGCTGGGCTCGGAAAGTTACGTTCGTGCCTTAGGAGTGTAGGTTCATGGTTCAGCAGGCTTAGATTGTGTCTTTACCCCAAGGGCTGCACGTCACCAAAAAGCAATGCCATAAGCACTGTCATACCATTCATCTCAGCCGTGCATTTACAATCCCAGCATGCAAAAAACATCGGCTCTACCCTAAACCCTGAACCCTAAGCTCTTAAACCTTCAGTCCTAGGTCAACTGATTCTGATGGTTTAGGCAATCTCCCGCTTGAACTTTCGGAGGCTGGTAGGCTCCATGGCCGCGAAAGCAGAAGAGCCGCCAAAGTCTTCCAAATCCTCCAGTCAGCATTTCCCGTATGGACATATAGGGGATATAAAGGCCAATATAGCGATAGTGGAAAAGAAAATGGCAGGTACTACAGTATTGGGGCTTCCTCCAGTACATGGTTTTTTAGAGTTGTATGATGTATGCCTGATATCCACAACATCTACGCCTTGGGGTCAGCTGCCTTGGCTTAGGATGCAGGACCTCAGTGGAACCTCTTGTAGGGCTGGCTTTCACGGGTTACGTAGAGCCTTCATCGTTTGCAGTCCTGGCCGATCTTTTGTGACGCAGGCTACTTGGAGGGTCAGGGGGACTTGGAAAGTAGGCAGGTCAATAACTGCTTCAGGCAATAGAATAACCCTAGTTCTCCTGATTATTAACCTACTTACGAAGTCTCCCTGACCCTCCAAGTAGGGTTCTCCAGCGCTCCTAAAAAGAGCGGCTAATAGTCATGAAGACTTAGGGTCACAAGGCGCCAAAGCCTCAAACCCTAAGCCCTAAACCTGAAACCCCAAACCCTAAACACTGTAGGGGTCCTCATTTTCTGAGTCAGGCCAGGAGGACAGCAGCACAAAGTCCGGCTGAGCGCGCCAAAGATTCCGCAGAAGGCTCCAGGCATCCTTGCGACTCAAATGCCTTGGCTTCGTGGAGTCTAAGGCCTAGGGTTTAGGGTTTAAGGGTTTAGGGTTTCTTGTATTGGGATAGTATCGGGGATATAATGGAAATACAATGGAAACTACTAGGGTTTAGGTTTAGGGGTTTAGGGCTTCTCGGTAGGGAATGAGGGAACTGTATACTATATTCCTATATTCCCTACTAAGAACCAGGAAGCTGGCTCAAGCCATCTCAAGCCCCCTCACCCTGGTCCATTTAGCACAAGAGCTAACTCCAAAAGGCCAGAGTGCTGGAAGACGTGGCGCACCATAGCTACAGTGTAACCCAGTGGCAAGGCATCCGTCACGCCGTCAGCCACCTCGGCTGCAAGAGCGAAGTTGGAGGGTTCAAATGCTCTCTTTGCACAGGGGCTATCCAGGACCCTACTAGTACCCTTAATTGGGGGTATATAGCCCACAATCGTAGGTACCGAGGCCTAAAAAGAGGGTAGGTGGAGGGTCTAGGTGGCATAAGGGTAACACTGACCTAGAGCTAGAATCATGGAGCATCAAATGGAAAAGAGAAAGGAACCATGAAATGGACATCGGGTTTATGTAGGGGCTTTATAAGGATAAATAGGTTCCACCCTCGAGTTCTCACACTCGACGATATGTAGGGTCCCTTTAAGGGGATACATGGGTGTTATATATGGGAAACGGAAAAAATGGACACCACTCTAAGCCCCAAACCCTACAGACCCATCGCATGTAACTGTACACTGCGAAGCTTAGGATTCCTGTGGCGCTATAGCTACTTGACTCCAAGGTTCCAACTACAGTAGCTTTGCAGTAGCTTGCTTTCATGGGAAGTTTTACTTAATCCACCTTCTATTAGGACCCAGTAACTATGTTATGACTATGACAGGGTCCCAATCTTAGGTGTGGGGGTTACGAATGCCCCATTATGATGGTCGGGCTTGTTCTCGAGGTCCTGACCTTTCTTGCATCATGGTCACTTTACGACGCTTGCACCACTACGTCATAGACAGGGTAAAGGCAGGAGCATGAACTGAAAACTGACTCTGAACACACAAGCATAAGACCTAAACTTCCCGGATGTTAGAAGGGCATAAGGGAATATAATCCCTATATAACGCCTATATACAATATTTCCCCTTTCCCTACTAAGAACCAGTAAGTGAAGCGCGCCTCGAAGCGGAGCTCGGTTCCTTTGTGCACAGATTGCAGATGCCGAATGGGTTGCCAGGCAATGTCCAAGCCTGCAAATGCGTAAAATGAGCGCTTGTAGCAGGGGGAGAAGTTGGGATTCACTCTTGTGATACTTTTTGTTCCGGAAGTCCGCAGAAGCCAAAGCCTACAGTAGACTCCGGAAAGCAAGGCTACAACGCTCATAAAGAGGTGCCTTGCTGGACCCAGAGCTTTGCAGGCTCCGAAGCTACAAGCCTAGCCTGTACTAGGGGTCTGTTCAATTTTGGGGAAACAGCCAGATTGCTCGGATTGGATTGATAAGTGCGACAATTCCGCAGTACGGTGTCCTGCCACATATGATTAAAGTTCAGTCTGCTGTAGAAGAAATCAATAAGCCCAAACATGGAGGGGTAAGGTTAGACGTTGCAGGTTCATGCTTAGAAGAGTACCACTTCAGCGATCTTCCAGCATGGAACAAGCCCGCCTAGGTATCGAAAGCCTGGACGCAGCTGTCCCAAGCGGAGAGCAGTATCCAGAGCTTCCGGGACCCATTCCTGGTTTCTTCCGTCGATTGGTTGTGGGCTGTGCGCACTGGACAGTCGTCGCAGGACAGGGTACTCTCGGTTGGCTTTACTGCTGTTGGCAACTAGCCGCAGCATCGGATGATACGAGCCACCATGATATCTACCAGCCGTTCCAAATTTGGAATGACAGACTGTAAAACTATAAGCTCTTTCTGCCAGGTCAGGTTGTAAAATTTCGCACGTCTGGTTCCGGTTCGTGAAGAGTCTCCAGATCAAGATCTACAGTTCGACATGGTATCAGCTCAATAATCACCTAAAGCCCAAGCAAGCTCAGGACGACACGGAAAACGTGATTCTGATAATGATCTTGTGTCTCCCCAGCCGCAGCCCACATCAAGAAGAGATTCCACACCACCTGGCTTCACCTAAGCTGCGCTGCTTTGTCTTTCTGCACAGTTTCAGGAGAAGTTGCAGGGATGTGCAGAACACAAGAAATCACCCGAACAAGAGCAAACTGACCCCGGCCTAAGGATCCGCCTAAAACTGCGATGAAACAGGCTGCTAATGGCATGCAGGCTTATGAATGAGAGCATCTCCTGGAATTGAGGATGCGCCTTGCCTTCTGAAGGTTCTTTAGGGGTTCCAGGAAAGTGTTCTAACTGCTTGTACTTGTCGGATGAAGCCTGGCATGGGTCATGAACATCCCAGGATCCTGTATAAAGACCTAAGTCAGCGGCAGTGGTGTGTGAG